TTTATCTGTGTTTATTTTGGGCTCGCAACCAGCAAGAGCCGGGACTGATAAAAACATTCCTTTGAACGTTCTGTTTGGCTTTTATTTCTGAACGGACAAGGTTGGGGGTCAGAACAGGGATGTAACCCTAGTCTTGGCTTTGCAATGTATATGTATAAGCATAAGCCATGATTGTCACAAATGTATCTGTTACATTAAATGTAAGAGAGGGGTAATTGGATACTATTGCTTTAAGCAGCCATAAAAGGAGGAAGGAACTATTACGGAGTTCTCCCTAATGCTCCTGATGTTTCCTGAGTGTTACTGATTCTACAGCTTCTACAGAATTGTTGTTCCTGATAGTTACTGACTTGTTACTGTATGAGCTTAGTATTTGGGGAGAAGGCCGTGTATTGGATGGTGGCTAGTCTGTATAGTAGTTAACCCGCGTGACCCAACAAATGCGCGCACGATGAAAGCGCGCCGACAAAACCGCAGTGACAAAACCACGACGTCATCAATGCGCCAACAACAGCACGCCGACAGAAGCGCGATTTAAGTTAAGGTTAGGATTAGGTTTAGAGCGCGCTTCTGTCGGCGCACTGTTGTCGGCGCGCTTCAGCGCTCATTCGTCGGCGCGGTTTAGAACTTGCAGTTTTGTCATCGCGGTTTAGTCGGGCGCGCTGTTGTCGGTCGCCCTTTTGTCGGTGAACCGTTAACCTGTCTACATGGCGAATTGTGAGTTGAGCAACTGTAACTTCAACGTATTGTAAATAGAACTGTGTACATACTTCAAGATTGCTTATAGTCTGTTTGGAGACTATTTTATCCCAGTGGTAGTCAACCTGGTCCCTACCAACCACTAGCGGGCATTCCAGTTTTTATGGTGGGCGGTACGGGTTTTGTCCGATACTGAAGCACTTTCCTTTTTTAAAAAAAATTAATTGACTTTAAAAACAATTTTCATAGCATTATTTAAAAGCATTTTCATTAGGTTTTCATAAAATCACTATTACTGTGGAACCAGTGGGCGGTCGGAAAATTTTACTACTAACAGAGATCCAAAAGTGGGCGGTAGGTATAAAAAGGTTGACTACCCCTGATTCATCCTATTTTTGTTACGCAAGTAAAGCTATTCTTTCTTTTACTTTCGGTGGCTGTGACAGGGGAGGCAGAGCCTCACCACTGTCAAAATGAAAAGAAAAATGTAAAAGGAAAAAGGCTGAGCTAGTTGCTGCCAGAGTCACAGTGGATGACTCTGCTTAGTGCTTAACTGTTTAAAAAAGCCTCTTAAAAAGTGCCCTGTACAGGAGGAGGCAGGGTAACCACGTGCCTCATCTAGTCTGACTTTATGATCACTCAAGCAGAGCTAAGCAAGGGTTAAAAGCCAAAAA